GCACCTGCCCAGCTCAGCGCCCAGTGCGTGTGCCCGGCGTCCTGCGCACCTGCCCAGCTCAGCGCCCAGTGCGTGTGCCCGGCGTCCTGCGCCACCACACCAGGTCCTACCGACCACTGAAGCGCCCCAGCCAGGCGTCCTGCTCGCACACTGGAACCCACTCCTCTCCCGCTGCCCACCATCCGCCACTTTCCCTCACCACACAGAGTGGGCTGTCTTTCCTGCCCAAACCAAGGCTGGCCCCATTCTCTGGGGCCCAGAGAACAGGAGTGAGAGCTGAGCCTTCCCAGCTTAAGACCCCCCACCTCTCTGGATGGCACGAACCTGAAAACCCACCCACATCTGTCCTGCTTGGAAGCCTCCCGTGGGCACAGCACAAACCACAGCTCAGCCAGCTGACTTCTTACAGCAGGTGCTTCTACCGCCGTGCTCCGGGGGCCGCAAGCTTCGAGATCACCTGCTCCCTGCACTGCCCCCCACCCCAGGGGTACCCTCCGAGACTTCACTCTCTAGTCGGGCAAGTGTGCCGCCCCATCCGTCTGACCGCCACCAGCAAGGCTCTCTCCTCCAGCCGGGCTGGGGCCCCCAAGTTACCCTGCCGCAGTCCACTCTCCACTCTCTCCCCCACTGCCCCTGGGCCATCTTCCCCTCTGGACTTAGAACCCCTTAAGGACAAGGCCCAGGCTCCCGGTGTCTTAGAGTGGCTACTGTGGCCCAGGCCGACAAGCATCCAGAGTAGATAAGAGAAGTGGCAGACACGGGATGTCCCAGCCGGGGCGCTGGGCTGCCGGGCTCCTCCTCTCCTCCTCCTGAGGCGGCTCTGCCAAGGGGACAGCTCCCACCTGCCGCCTGCCTGTCCCCTGGCCTGGCTCAGACGACTTCGGGCCTCACGCTGCCCAGCCCTCCTTCCAGTTGACCTTGCTGTGCCCTCTGATGCCCCACGAGAGTTTTGGGCTCCTCGAGGCAGGGCCTGGGAAGCACACATCAGTCTCTGTGGGGTGGAGCTCAGATCAAGTCTCTGGCCAACGCCCCCCGCGCCCCAGATTCCCACAAGCCTCCTGGCCCTGGGCGTCTGCCCCCACAGCTCAGCCTGCTCCCTCCTCTGCCTGAGTCGCCAGGCCGCGGAGGCTTTCCTGGGGATCCTGTGAGATGAGCCTTGCCTCTGAGCGAGTAGCTGGGAAGCAACACGCAGGGACTGCGTCTCAGCTGTCCTTACCTGTCGGCTGCCGCTTCTGCCGCCACACCAAAACCGACTGACCTGGCAAGTGCGTAAAATGGGCAAGTGCCTTCTCTTTAATACCTTCTCTTTAAAGCTCCAGCTGCTGTGTTCCGGGGGCCTCCGCCTCTTTGTCCAGCTGCCTCCCCTCCCGCCACCACAACTATCCAGATCTGGGGGTGATGTCATCAATCCAATTTATTGATCACGTCCTCAGTGAGGTGCAGGGAGGGTCACGTCCTCCCGCTGCAGACCTTCTGGCCATCCTGACAGCTTCTGCCGCCTCCTGTCCCCTCAGCCCTGCCTTGGTTTACCCACCGAGAAGGGGGAATCTTCCGCTGTCCTACATGCCCCGAAACTAACGCCCAAGAGGAGGCCGGAAAGCTCGAGGCAGCTTCCCAGCTCCCCCAACTGCTGACACACAGCCAGGGGCAGAGAGGTCATGAGGATCCAGACAAGCAAGGCAGGGGGACGCAGGAGTAGGACAGACCAGAGTCCTTTGCCGCAGAGGAGAGAACCACACTGTGGAGGGCAAATAAATAGAGGGGCCCAGGACAGTAGAGTCCAGGCCCCCAGGGGCGCACTGACTGCGGGAGCAGCAGGAAAGCGGGAGCCCTGGCACCCCGGGCCCCTGGCCCCTGGCCCGCCTCAGCCACTGAGAAAGACACGCTTGTAGGCCTTGTTCATCTGCTCCAGGAAGATGAAGGTGAGGACGGTGTGTGGGCCCAGGCGGGCGTAGTACGGCGTGAAGCCCTTCCAGAGGCTGAAGAAGCCCTCGTAGCGGACAACCTTCACCAGCACGTCCTGCACAGGTGGGCAGGGCGTCGGGGCTAGGACCTGGCTTCCAAGGCCGTGGCCGGCTTCCCCAGCACCCTCCCTGCCCTCCCAGAGCCCCGAGCCCCACTGCCTCACCAGCCCGTTCTTGTACTCTGGCTTCCCGTCAATCATTCTCATGTTCTGGATCCTGCAGGAGAGGCAGGGGCGTGAGAGACACACAGAGCGGGGCCTCCCGTCTGCCTCCGGGAGCCGGCCCGCGCACTCACCGGGTCTTGACGATGTCCACGGGCATGGAGGCAGCTGTGGTGACCAAGCCGCTGATCATGCTGGCGCAGAAGTGGCAGAGGATGTTGTCAGAGAAGTAGCCTGGGGGAGGCAAAGCAGGGGCGGCGGTCAGCGTGGAGCCCGCCCAGGCCAGGCTGGGGTGCCCCCGCTCCGGGGCTCACCTGAGTCCAGTAAGAACTGCTTGGACTGGGAGTAGGAGGCAAGCTGGGCCGCATTGACCACAACAGCGCGAGCCATGGTAGGGATGCATCCCTGTGGGGGGGTGGGATGGGGGGGTGTGGTGTCAGAGACAGCCAAGAGCTGCCCCCTGCTCCCCCAAAATCTCCGGCCCCTTCACTCACCCTCCATAGCGTGGGGACCCCCTCCTCTCGGGCGATTCGGATCAGAGCATTAAACACGTTTTTGTAGCCACGGCGCTGGTCAGGAGGAAGCCTGGTGAGAAGGCAGGGAGAGGCCAAGCTCAGGATAGCCCACCCTGCCCCACAGGAGCAAAGAAAGGGGGGCCAGAACACGGGCGTCACTGCTCCGCTCCAGACCAGGGATAAGGAGTCAGTACACTGACACCGGATCCCAGAGAACGAAGCTGGTGCAGACTCAGACCTGGAACTCACCGGCCATCGGCGGTCATGCGGATAAGAGCCACCTCAGCAGGTGTGCCCACGAAGGCACCCGTCGCGCCTGCCGTCATGCCGATCAGGGCCTTTAGCAGAAAGCCAGGCGGCGTGCCGTCTGCCCCAGTCAGGCGCTCAAACAGCACCGTGTAGATGCCGAGGCGGGTGGTGGTGTAGGTGGCCTGGCGCAGCAGGCCAGCCGACAGCCTGGGGAGTGAAGAGGTCAGGGCATCAGGCCAGGGTCTGGAGCTGCCAAGCCGCCCTCTCCCACCAGCACTCCCCCGTACCCAGTGTAAATGCCCCTCAGCCCCTCCGCCCTCAAGATGCTGGTGAGGGCATGGAAGCTGGTCTTGTACTCCCGAGTCTTGGCTCCCTCCCCGCTCAGCTGCATCCGATTCTTCACCAGGTCCAGCGGCTGCACAAACACCGTTGCTCCCATCCTGGAGGAAGACAGAAGCGGAGTCCAGGGCCTGCTGGAACCTGGCAATGAGGGGCCACCAAGCTCCAGGCCCGCCCCGTGATTAAGTAGGTGTCCAGAAATCTGGTGGTTATGTGTGTATGTGTCCGTCTGTGCCAAGAGCCACGGGTCTGAAAAAGTCCAGTGGCGGGGGGCATGCAACGGCAAGTGCTCCACTCCGCTCCACGGGGTCAGGCATGATCTGGAGCGGCCTGCAGCCCACCCCAGAGAGAAGGTGGGCGCTCGTGACCTGGGAATTCACGCAGCCCAACAGGAGCCGGGTAGGGATCTGGAGCCCCACAGGACCTGGGAGAGCCGGGCACCGGTCCGGGAAGCTCAAGTGGCCCGACGGGCCGTGCAAGGAGCCTGCACGCAGCCCAGCAGGAGCCTCGCAACGGGGGAAAAGGTCCTGGCAGCCCACCAAGGACCTCGGCGTACGCCTGGGACCGCGCTGGCCCCGTGCCGACCCGGGTGCCCGCCACCGACCCGCAGCCGTCCCTTCCTCCTCCCTCCCGATGCCGGGGCCTGAGCTTACCCGGCCAGGCCCCCAAACAGGAACTTGACGGACTTAGGGGACGTGCGGGGCTTCGCGTCTACCCCGCCGGCCCCGGGACTCGTCGTGGCCGCCATCGCCGCTCAGGGGCCCTCGGCTCCGGGTCCTGTGCGCGAGCGGCCCCACTCGCGCCCAAGGTGACACCGCGCGCGCAACAGGGCCGAGGGCGCGCGCACGCCCCTCCGGCTCTCCCGGCCGGCCCCAGCTGGAAACCCGCGCAGGCGCAGGCGCGCGGCGCAAAGGCCGCCGGGAGCAAGTCGGAGCCGGAGGCGGGGCTTCGAGGAGGTGTTGCGGGAAGGGGTGTGGCTGGTTTAGGAAGCCGGAGTCCAGACATACTTTTCGCTGAATTGGACTCGCGGGAAAACA